ACGAGGACTGCACAAGGTGCAAAGCAACAGAACAAAGTGTGAGAGTGGGGAGACATGAACTCAGCATCTTGTCAGCCATAAATTTGATCTTACCCCGGGCTAGACACTTGTGCTGGGTACCTGCCTCCCCCTCAGCCGCTCAGCGCTGGTCGTTTCACCGCTGCTGGGGGGAAGGCCTGTGGGTGAGCCCTCTCTAGTCTGGCAGTTGCTTGTGCAGCTGCTCTAGGCATCCCTCCCTGTATTCTGTGATCCATTGTTCTTAAAGGAAAGCTTTCCTTTTTTTAAAGTACAGTGGTTGAAATCTTAAGAGATGCATCTTACAGAGATGCATGAGACTGAGTATAAACCTCTCTTTGCACAGCTGGAATATTTTTTAGAACCCAAAAGATCCATTAAAGCTATGTTTAAAAAACTAAAAGAGAGAACCAAACCAAGCTAAGTCAAGTATCCATCTGCACTTTTCCTCTTCGAGCACCCAACAGGGATACTGCAAAAGGCAGGGACAGTTTGAGATCAAAGTAGAATCTGATGTCCTGATTGCTCGCTGGTGCTGCTATGTTTTCAGTAAGGCTTTAATGTATTTTCAGGGGCTTTTGGGCAAACGCTGAGATCTTTCTCCTCTCATTAATTTCCTGATCCACTGAGGGGCCAAGACCTTTTTGAGAATTTTCCCTGGTGCATGGAGACTGTAGATCAAGGTGTCTGTGGCATTTGGTGCAGCATGTGGATTAAAATACCTCCTGCCACCATGAGTCTGGTTGTTACCCAGAGGGCAGGAAGGGGACCCGTGGCTCCAAGTGGAAGTGCTCTCTCCTTGCCGTTCAGAGCAGACTGGTTTCCCCAGCTGGGGATTCCTGGACTGTGTGGTGGGCGAGGCCAGGTATAGATCTGATGGAGAGGGGGTGTCCTCACCCACTGCTGGTGTCGGCCTGCCTTCCCAGGGGTGGAATAGAGAACTGCTTTGGCAGGACAGACCCAGCTCTTTCCATTTTTTTTATTATTTTAAATTTTCTTTTTACATTCAGTTATTACTTGACAGGCTGCTGTTGTTTTCTGAGTAAGACAAACAAGGGAAAGGAAGTTGCATTTATTTTCCTGCTGTTTATAAAGCAATAAAACTTGGATGGAACTTCAAGGAATAGGGAAAAGGCTCGTTGCTAGTTTGAGGGCTTTTCTCCACAACATTAGAGAGATGGATCCTTTCCAGGAAGGCATCAATGCCAGACTTCTCCTACAAAGATTGGGTTAATCTCTCATTCTTGGAAGTCCCATTTCGCCAGCATAAGGGGGAAGACTGCCTGTCTTCTTTCTGTGAATTTTGTTGTAGTTGTGAGTGCTCTCTAATTTCCCAAGGCAATGCTGAATTTAACCGTGCAACAGTCGGTGAGCAATGTGGCAGTCAGAAGTTGTTGAAAGTTGCAGTGGTGTTGGAAGCAGGTAGCTCTAAAGTGAAAGACATGGTGCTGTCACATTGCTGCCATTTCCCTGACTTCTCAGAAAGCTGCTTTACAGCAGTGTGACTGCACACAGGGCCTCCTGCAAGAGAGACATTAAATTAAAATTCCGGTTGGAAATGCATAGTTATTTTGCTATCCCCCTGTCCAAAGATAATTTCCAGATTATGTGCTATATGAGCATCTGAAGCTTCAAAAACAATTAGCTGATGAGCAGATACCCAGTAAGTGTCACTGAGAAATGCCACCATCTGACTGGTCTGTGCTTTTTTTTCATGCTCCCAAATGAATGAAGAGAAAAGCTGGACTGAAAACAGTGTGAGGGTTGCAAATTCTCTCAAGGCATGGACCTTACTTACAGTAATCAGATTTTATTTTGGGAAGAACTCTGTGCAGAGGTTATTTCTGGCACTCAGTTCCAGTTGCCTAATTAAACTTCTCGAAACAACAACAAAATGCATCACCCCTGGAGCAGACCAGAGCTTTGGAAAGCAGCCAAATAAATCGGCTAAGAACAAATGGATAAATTCTTATTCCAGGCTTATAAACTTCAAAATCCGGATGGGTTAGTGCTCCAGGAACTGTGGCTGCTGTGCAGACAGGGCAGGGCAGACCCTGGCAGAAGAGGGTGTCCCCTTGCTCTTTTCTTTTGCTTACCTTTCCCCTTCTTCTTTTCAAAACAGCGGCCACTCAGATAAGCACCTGAGATGATGCTTCAGCCTTGATTTTTATTATTATATCTCCACTTCCAATCCACCATCATTTCAATCCTTGCCTCACAAGGTGAGGGGCAGAGCCTTTGTACCCAGCAGGATGGCCAGTTAATAGGGTAAGTGCATCTGCAGGGAGCGTGCTGGCTCGGCTGCCTGCCTCTGCTGCTTCCTGCCCTTGACCCTTGAGAGGTTTTGCTGGAGGATGCCCTGTGAGTAGTTTTGAAGAGAACTTTCCACACAGGCTTCCACCGATATCTTACCATGTTAATTAAAAGGAAACCTATAGCGTAGAAAGCTACCTGCTGGTACAAGCCTTACCCGTCAATTGGGGTTAACTTGTGCCAGTTCAAAGACACTGCCTGTCAATGCTATCTAGCATCAGCTCTAAAGGATTTATTTTTTGTCTGTCTCTGTTCTAATTGCAGTAAGAAATTTTGGTAGTACACCTACTAAGATCACCTCAGCTCTCTGCCCCAAGCACTTCTCAATGGATTATGGTGTTACCAAATCATAAGCATTTGGGCTGGAATTTTCTGTCTGGGCTATTTATCTATTATCTAGTTATTATTTTTAGATTTCCATCTAAAAATAATGTCCAGCCTTTCCCAGGAACAAGACTAGAAGGAGAGTATTTACATTAAAACAAACAATCAAACACATCCTAGCAGCTGCCTTCTCCAGGAGCTGGAGTGCCCCAAATCCTTGGAAGCCAGTTTTGGGCGTTGGCAGAGGGGTGGCCTTTGGGCTCATGAGTAAGCCCTCCCCTTCTGTGAGAAGTTGCCCATTTTTAAGCAATATCATGTGTGTGCAGCAGTGACTTTAATTTTTTTATTGCTGAACCTTAAGGTCTTTTGTTCACTGAAAGGTTAAGCCTGTCCCATCGCTTACTACTGACCAGTCTGCTGGTGAGCAGAGCGAGCGATGATGGATATGCCGTGCACTAGTTGAAGACAGGAGAAGAGAGGTCAAGAGGAGTCAAGCTAGTAGGAGGAAAGACAGAGGAGTCCAAGAAAGTGTGCCATATCCTACACCCTCTGGAGAGGAACCCATGATTGCTATCAGCCAGGATCTTAGCTGACTCTGCTGCCAGAGATGACAGTCTGACTCTCCCTCGTTCCTTTGGCACGTTCCTATTGGGCAATCCAGGAAAATTAACCCAAATTTTCTGCTGAATCATCTGCCTGACCCAGCTTCCCACGAGGTGTGGAATGTTCATGGTATTTCAAAGGAAGCAGGAGCAGGGGATGAAGAGGGCGTCATCCCTGCAGGCAGATGTCCTGCAGAACCCGCTGGGTGCTGGCACTTCTAAACCCCGCTGGTAGTTTGCTTTGTTCCGTCTCCAGCTGATCAGTACAAAGGCAACTGTTCCTCCTGTGCTTGCCCAGGTAAAGGAGGGCTGCCAGGCGGGTTGGGAGGCTAAGCACTGCCGTTGGTCCCTGAGGGTGACGCTGTGAGGCCACTTTATGATGCTTCTGTTCTGTTGGGTTTTTCTAGAATTTCTTCTTGCAGTTAATTTTGACTTACATATGAAACATGTAGAAAACATCATTACTGAGACTGAAGGTAGTTTTGACCATGGTGGACCTGCTCTGAGAATGAAAAGGATTATAGAGGGATTAAAGTTGCTTCATCCCTTCTTGTTTGCTGCAGAGACCACACTGTGTAGAGTGGATGGAGTGTGCAGGGAGAAATGATCTAATGATCTGGTTAAAGTAATTACATTGATTGGTATACTGACTTTTTTTTCTTTTCTCACCCCCCCGACAAAACCCTACTGGATGCTTAAAGAATATCTTCTTCTGATCAATATTAATTGAAGCAATTCTATTATGTAAACACCATGGTCCTCTTTTTACATTTTCAAACTGCTCAGCCTTCTCAGTAAGCTTCTTAGAAGCTCACACAAAGATACTCCTTTTATTTGTGCCTCAGTGCTTAAAGTGAGAAGAGGACCCTGTTGGGAGGTGATGTCCAGGACATCGAGTCTTAATATTATTAATCCTTTGTCCTTCTGGGTAGACCCTGAACAGACAAGATTTTACCTCAGGTATTCTGCTCGGCTCAGGTGCATGTAGGTAAAGGAGGAAATTAGATCAAAGCTTCTATTTTGTTAAGGCTATGTTCTTTGTATCTACAAGACATACATAAAGGCAGTCTCTGCCCTGAGAAGCACTGCCACCCCCTCTGAAGCAAGGTCACGCTCCTTTTGTCTGTGAGTTTTTCCCTGAGTTCAAGTATCTTTGCAAAATGCACAAAACACTGTAAGATTGCTGCAGTGTGCTCTTTGTGGGGTGACCCATGAAGGTAACTGAAACTTCATTGAGGGAGAATGGTGCTGCTTGCTTCCTTACGGTGTTTCATGTGAAATATATTGTACCAGGGCCTGATGGTGACAGCTGAGTGGTTTCTGAGTAAGAGGATGGTGTTGGCTTGACAGAGAAAGCCTGCAGCTGGATTCCTGGGTTCTAAGATGATGACGAAGAAAAATAAGATGTTCATTTTAGTGTGGAATTTTGTCCAAATTGCACTGGAATTGCTGTAGTCATACTGCTTTTTCCTGAAAGTTGCCCAGTTTTCACCAGTGAAATAGAGTAGATCCTGGCAAACCTGTTCCGACCACTTAACTGTGGGTAATGTGGATTAACAGCCTATCCTAGTTCCAGCTCATTGTCAAGGGCATTTGATTGAGAATCTTTTGACAGAGAAGTCTGAGTTCACAGGATCCAAAGTGCTGTTGCCTCTGCAAGCTCTTGCTCTTACAGAGGAGAATCTGAGGCTGTGCATTTCTTAGGGCATGTTGTAACGCCTGCAGGAGGAAAGGTGGGCATGGTATATGGGCACTGGGTGGAAACTCCTCTTCAGGAACTAGGATAAATGGAAAAAGGTTTCAGAGTGCCCACATGTTTTGTGCTAAGTAATTTGAGAATCTGTCCATCAGAGTCATTACAGGAACTTCTCAGTTAGAAACAGTTTTGCAAATGAGTGCCAAGTTACTTCATCAAAGCTGTCCTGGAATTTTGCTTTAAAACCTGAACTGTTCTTCAGATCTTCCTTTTGCTGCCATCTCCTCCATGGGTAAAGTAAAAATGTTTGCTTTGACTGTTGTAAGGCACTTGTCACTTGTGAACTGTTGGCGTCTAATTTTTGGTGTTAATGGAATCCAGTCCCATTAAGTCAGAACAAAATTAAAACCAGTGCGGTTAGATGTGAGGGGAAAAATAATAGCATTTTCCATCAGTTACCAGTGAAACTTTCCTTGGTGCTCAGAATTAGCCAGCTCCACAGAGGTCACCCTGCTCTGTGGGACAAGTATGTCTCTGAGATAACTGCTTGGTGGAAAAGCTGCCTTTTTGTGTGTTGTGGCAGATTCTCTGTGGCAATTACTATTCTGTAACTGCTCCTGGTGATCCTGTATTCAGTTCCCACCTTCAACGATTGGTATTCAGTGAAATTCTTCCTCTGGTACATTCTCCTTTCCATAGACAAGAATAATGTTTAGTAGTTTAGCCCCAGGATCTTCTGGATCATGAGGATGTCGATGTCCTCAGGCTTCCATGGTAACAGTGAAGACCCACAGGATTTTTGATTTATTTTGTGGGCTACATCAAGGTGTGGGACCTGCGTTAACCTGAAGCCTTAGGTGCTGGTTACCCATTAAAAAATGCTAATTATTTGCTTAATTGTTTCCTGTAGAATGTTTGTTTTGCCATCAACTGCAATTAATTGTAATATCTCAACAAAGTGTTTTATTGCATAAAAATGTGTGTTAAGGGGAGAAAAATAATTTTTGTTCATGTGCCAGTGGTATGTGTATGGCCTTAGTATCGAGGCCTGAACTTGGAGAACACAGTGGTTTTCTTTGCTATGTACATATAGTCATATGCAATAATGTTTAATTAATTGAAATCAAAAGGACAAGCCAAAGTGGAAAAATGGGTGGAGAATGTTGTGTTTGGATGGCTTCCAAAAGATGTCCTATTTGAGAGGTGTGAATTTATGCATTGCATTTCAGGGTCCTGCTCAGAGGAGATTGAATATTCATCGGGATTAACGGTATCATCTGCATGAGAGGTGTCAAAGTGGTCTGTCAGCATAATGAACGTGTTCCTGTTCTCTGGTTTGAGACTCATTCTGTCAACTCAATGCACCTTTTAAAAAAATTGTTTATTTATGTGATGCCAGTTATCTGCTGAGGTCTGTAGACACAGGCTAATTCCAAAAAGACGGGCAGTCATTTCACGTGTTCAGGGGTGGTTTGGTACTATAAACAGCATCACTCCTAATTTGCTTCTGACAGGGCAAATTCCCCTCTGTCAGTTTAGGGCACAAGAAAAATGTTTGGCATTGCCCCTGTGCTTCTATTTCCACAAATATCAGGACCCAGACCTGTGTCTCAAAGACATTTGTTTAGAGATAAAGGCAATAAATTAAAAATATGTGTATTAGTCTTGTATACTTTGCCTTTCATGGGGAGGGGGGAGATAATTAATTGATAAGGAAAACCGGTTGCTTATTCATATCAATCACTGTGGTGAAACCAGCAAATCAGTCATGAAGTTAAACTTCATGTCCCTGAGACTCTGACCCAATATAGAATATACTTTGTTAAGGAAGAAAATCAGTTTAACAGGCTTTAAATTTAGGAGCATGCTGAACTTGTAACTACTATTCAGTTTTTTAACATGATTTTTTTTTTGTTCGTTGATTATTTTTGTTTAGTGTGTTGTCAAATTGTAACAATCTAAGGACACAGGTAATCCAAGATTTGCAGAGATAATGTATTGTATTAAACCAGCAAATATAGCTGGAAAAATCAAAGATGCTTTCAAAGCACACAGGCAGCACCTAATTCCGATTTTTGTGCCCCAAAGACTCTCTGTTTCTCCCAGCTCTACTATCTGATCTAATCTAAGGTAGTTTTCTGACCACAAACCCTGCCCTACCCAGTCCTTCACTGGTACCTGCAGGCCACAAGAATGTTGCTGGGTTCTGCTGGTTAAGGTACACAGCCTGCCTCTGCTCACTCACATATTTTTTCCAGGAACAAATGAACAAAATGGATTTTTCACCAATCAGTTTTTTGTAGGTAAGGTACGAAGCCTTGAAGCAATGAAGGAATGGTACGTGTTTTTTTTGGAAAATAGTCCTCCAGCCTGCTGCTGTAACTGTTTAGAATTACTTTTCACTTAGACCATTTTTTAATTTTAGTTTTTGAAACCCTCCTGGTTAAAATCAAATTACTTCAATTAAGTTTCTTTTTACCGCTTGTAGCCTGATTATTGGTAATTGAGATAAGACATTTGGCTATTATCTGGTAACTGACCCTGCCAGTTTTGTTAAGCCTACATAGCTTTAGCTTATCCCACCTCTGTATTCACCAGTCTCAAGTCACACATTAATTCTTAGAGGGGATTTTGTTTTTCAGTACCTTCTTCTTCTTCAGTGTTTGTTGGACTCTACATGTGATGATGTTCTTCTCAGAAGGAACAGAGACTCAGAAGTATGTTAGAGTGCAGGGATATTGTGGGTTCTGTACAGATAACAGGGGTTTTCTGCCTTCTGTGTCTGATATCAGATCTGTGCTGTATCCCAGGAGCTGCAAGTGCTGTATTCCTAGAGAATGATCAGGATTCACTCAAGGAATGGGGGAATGAGGTTCAGGATGAAACTCACCCCTTCAAGACACGGTCCAGTATGGACTCTGCTCTGAGGCCGAGTACAGCCAAAGTTCAGTTACCTGTTTCAGTTACACTTTATCTGCATCCAGTCAGTCCTTTGAGGATGAACTGTATAGACTTCAATAAAAGGGTTTTTTCTCTCTTTAAGATCTGCAAGTAACCCGGAGAGGCAAATACCTATATTCTTCAGGAGTCTGACAAAACATGGCAGCTCTTCTGGCAGGAGGAACAGAGTGCGATCTGCCTCAGGGGCCTGTGGGAATTAGTGGCGGCTGCTTGTGGCCATGGTACTGGCTGAAATCCATGTCCACAGCAATCCATGGTAAATGTGATCAGCAGAATCCTAAAAGCAATCCCAGTATAAGAAGAACATGAACCTGCTCGAGCAGGGCCAGAGGAGGCCATGAAGATGCTCGGGGGTCTGGAGCACCCCCCTGTGAGGACAGGCTGAGAGAGTTGGGGGGTTCAGCTGGAGAACAGAAGGCTCTGGGGAGATCTTAGAATGGCCTCCCAGTACTTAATGGGGCTACAGGAAAGGGGGGAGGGACCCTTTACCAGGGAGAGTAGGGATAGGACCAGGGGTAACGGTTTCAAACTGAATGAGGGCAGATTTAGATTAATCTGAGGAAGAAATTCTTTCCTGTGAGGGGGGTGAGGCCCTGGCACAGGTTTCCCAGAGCAGCTGTGGCTGCCCCCTCCCTGGAAGGGTTCAAGGCCAGGTTGGACGGGGCTTTGGGCTAGTGGAAGGGGCTTGGAACTGGATGATCTTTAAGGTCCCTTCCAACCCAAATGGTTCTATGATTCTATGAACACCTGCCTTCAATGAACTGGCCTTGCTTAAACCTGAAGTAAAAGCTAAGAACAGGTAATTACTCTTTGGCTAATTCTTCTGTTGCTTATATTGGCATTAAATATGTTCATAAATGCCACTCAGTATCCAGCGTGATAAGCCATGATGTGAGTAATAGAGCAGGACAAGTTGTGCGATTACATTTAGATGCTCACATATTTTCAGTGGTTATGAGGGGCAAAAAGCCAAATGCCTTCAGCCACTTCTCTGGTGTATTGTACAGAAAATTCTTGAGAGATGCTGTTGCTTCATAAAAAGTGAATTTTTATGAAATTTTTATAACTCAGCTGACAAATAGGGACACCCAGCTATTCAAAGCTCCCTTATAGTCCAATCACTTCTCTGCAATAATGCTTTTTGAAGGTAAGAACTACTGTAGATGCAACCTTGCATGTGTGTCTCTAGGAAAAGAAATTGTTGTTACTATTACAGACACAGTTCTTAATTCATCCAGATCCCCAAGAGCCTGTGCATCTCTAGGCTTTCTCCTCATTGTTTGGGTCCTGGCTGGCTGTGCGTGGAGGGGAGATCAGTGAAGGATTTCCCTTCTTGACTTACAAAAGTCAGATTTTGGTTATGAATTTGCTCAGTTATAGTTTGAAGTCTTCAGATTCAAAACTCCGCTTAGGCACATTGTAGAAATGAAAGACAGCAATGAAAGTTTGAGCAGCCCATGCTCTTACTTGGACAAAGCAAACTTGATGTTGAACTGCCTTAATATTACAGTTTTTCACATGAAGGCTGTCAGTCATTTTGAGTAATTACATGTCTAGAAACTCAAATTGTAGCACGAATGCAAATATGGAGAAATTCCAACAAACCCAAGGAAGACAAAAATGAAATTGGTCCCTTAGAAACCAGAACCAAACAGATAGAGGGCATAGAAAGACTGACAATTGTGATTGCAAGGAGATATGAGCTGCTGTTGATTTTTGGGAGGTCTGAGTCTGTATTTTAAAGCCCCACCTTCTTGGATTTGCTGTACTGAGTGATACTGGGATGTCCTAGAGAGAGGTGGGGGAAGAACCCGAGTTGAATTTTCTCTTCAACTCTGTATCACACAGGAGGGCTAGCAGAGGTGTATTGAATTTTCACTCAAAAGAAAGAATTTTGCAGGGAGCAGCAACACTAACAGCTGAACCAGCTGGGTTTCTTGTTATTCTGCAACTAGTTGTATCTGATAATCAACTTCCATTAGTAAACTTGTCCTTAGAGGTAACAATCTATACAAACAAAAACCTCACATGTCCCAGTGTTATGTTAAGGTTTCTGCATGTGTCCTAGAATGGTTGGGTGTTGTTTTTTTTTTTCTTTTTGTTTCCTGAAGGAGCAATGTTATGCTTTTGTTCTTTTTTAGTGCCGGCCCACTTCAGGGCTAAGTGTCAGGTAGCTAAGGTTTGGGTTGGATAAACTGCCATCCAAAATTCACTTACAGCCAAATCTCATCATTTATGCACCTGAAATAAGTTTCCTATGACACCTCTGGCTCTGTAGTCCTGGTCTGAATCCAAAATACAAAGTTGTTTAGGAGAAACTGTGTTTGTGGGAAGAAGTGAAGCCTATCCAAACATTTGGAAAATGTACAGATTGTATTTTTCTCGTAAACTTTAAAAACCTGTGATGCGGTTTCTTTTTTTTTTTTCCCCAGAGAGCTTTGACTTTTCCACGTTAATCATTTTACTCAGCAATTTGTTTTCCTTTGTCCCTCATTCAGCAATATCTTCATAAAACCCTTGCTTTTTATAGTTTTGGTATTTGTTGCAAGGTAAGGAAAATTGTTCTTCTTAGATCATAAAACAACACAAGAGCTGGATATACACGTATCAGTCGGGCTTTCGAGTTTCCAGGCCAGAGCTGTGGAGCCTGTTCTTCACATGGGGCTCCTAAATAAATGTTTAAATTAGTGCTAAACCCATAAAGTGTCTGTTCACATGCCTGAATATCTGTGATCTCAGTATGGAATTTTGAAAAATGCAGTCAGTCAGAGCTCCACAGACAAGGTGACTACCTCACATGCATAGGTGCTTGGTAAAAGACCAAGAGAATTTGCAGTCTGATATTGGTATTTCCTGAAGGCTTATATATTTCAACTGGAAGTTTATAATCCCCATATATATACTTCTAATTCACATAATTCTTTTAACTCGGTCCTCCAAAACTCAGCTCTGCTGAAATTCAGTTCATTGGACATTCAGTTCGTTGGTGTTACAGCAGGGAGGAATTTTTAAGAAACTCAGATTTGAAAGAGCCCAGGAAGTCTGCACTGAAACTTTAACATTTTTTTAAATGCTCTAGGGAGAGATTAATTCTGCTCAATCACTTTTGATTCACCTGCAGCATAAAGGGAACTGCAGACACTTTAATAGCTCAATTGAAAGGTTGTTGAGTCACCATTATATCTCTGTAGTCTTTGTTCACTTGCTATTTTGCAGCTGCTTTTACCGTTATTCACTGAGTTGCCACAGAAATCTCGGAGAGTGGTACTATGAGATTTTTATTTCCCTGGCAGTGGGAGAATCACAGTGCTAATCCAAATCATTACTGCTAGCACCAGGGGGCTTTCCATTTAAAGTGCAGGTTGTACAATAGAATTTGTAGCAGCAAGTGACTGTCTCCAAGTGTTAGGGAAGGGTATTCTGGGTTTTGTGTGTGAAGGTCCCTACACTTTTGAACCAGACTTTAGAGGACTTACATGAAATGTGCCTCGTCTGGGACTTTGGACCTTGGGTACTACTATATTATAAATCATTAATAACTTGGTACATATATTGTATCTCTGCATTTCAGGTACGTGAACTGAACTGGATTCTCTCTTACATGCAGGATGTAATTCGTGAGTAGCACCAGATTAAGTTGCATTGTCCTGCTCATTTCTCAGGGGTCATGTGGAAGATGACTTCATGGGTCCTGAAGTACCTTCTGCACTTGGGAATGGTACAGAGCCTGGAGTGCCAAGAAAAAACAGAAGT